GGGCTGCCGGGCGCCACCAGGTACGTGCTCGGCCACCACCGGCTGCGTGTAGAAAAGGAGAGGTGGAATAGAAGGTGTCTCTGAAATGGAACTGCACCCAGTGCTCCCAGTCCCGTCCTGGGGCGGGGCTGGCTGCGGAAGCCGGTATTTCGGTGACAACAAAAAATCCAGTCTCTCTAAGCAAAATTAGCAGCCTGGCAAAGTCCGCTTCTTCCGAACTTTGCCTGTCTGGCTTTGCTGTTAGCAGAATTTGGACACCACTCAAGTAAAGGTGGTAATCGGTTTTGTCTCTGTCTCTTCCAAACAGCTCAATGACACCCGGGAAGAAGTTACAGGGTCTTGTAGCTGCTGCAGTCACTCCCATGACTCCCGATGGGTGAGTTGTCAAAAATCACGCTGATTACTGTTGTGATAGACCCCTGTTTTCCTTCTTTCCTATTTGGAACTGATCACTTCCTTTTTTTTTTTTTTAAATCAGATCTCTGATGGGATGGGGAAACTGTTAGATTGGTCTCACTAGGGCTAGAGTGGGATCCCTTAGCCTCTGCTTCTTCCTGTTGTCCCAGTGCTGTAGGTCTGGGTTGGGAGAGTTTGGATCAGTCTCACATCTCTGTTTTTTTGCTGCTTTTGTAGGTGCAAATTAAATCCTAGTAAGGTTATACGCATAGAGTGTTGCAGTATATTTATGTTTGTTAAGGCAAATCACAGTCCTGGTTAAAAAGACTTCGAGAGCTAGAAAATAATGGTCAAAATCTGATGTCCTTTTAGACTTTTCTTTACCCTAGCTAACTCACATGTGCATGCGCAGTATGTGTGTGTGCATGGAATTAGTCGAAACCAGAAGAAAATTCTGCAAGGACTGCACAGTTCTGTAAATAACGTCAAATCGAAAGTTGAAATTCAGCCTTCCTCAAAGCAGTGATGATAAACAGATGTCCTCCCTGCTGCGTCTTCCTGTGGCAAGACTTGCGTTGTTTGGAGTCAGCAAAGGACCCAGAGCTTCTCTGATGGAGGATGTGTCAAGACCTGTACGTGTTTGTGAGGAAGGCAGTGGAGGTTTGCTAGTACAGTCCTCTGAAAGTGACCCTTTGCTTTTGAAAAGTGCTGCAAAGCATGGTACTGTCTCACTCAGGGAACTCGTGCATTGCAGTCTTTGCTTCGTTTCTTGCCTTAAAGGAAACTTATTTCTGATTTAATTTTTGCTTACTGCTCAAATTTATTGCAACATGGTGTTTGGAGAGTGATCTGGGCTCACTGCCTGGAATGCCTGGTCCTTCTAACATATGTTCTGTGAAAGCAGCTGTGAAATTTTGGGTGATGTGTGAACCCACTCAAGGTCCTAGAATTGACTTCCAGACTATAGGGTCGGTCTGTACATTTGACAAATGAAAACAGTGTTGAAATATTATACACTGATAAACAAAATAAGTTTGTCCTGCAGAGAAGATAAACCTGGGATTCAATTTCCCCTGTTCGTCAGGGAAGTCTGTTGCTTTCCTCGTCCTTTAATGAGAGGGGTCAAAGTCACATCCAGCAGATGCCGTTTCACGGTCTGGCTCCAGCAGTTACAAGTATAATTTAACTGTTTCCCAGCACCTTTGCTCTCTCAAGAGGACTTCTGTTTCCCTCAACAGTCAAAAAGGTTTGAGTGCCTCTTATTCTCTCATACCTCCCCAAAAAAGTCCTTTGTTGTGATGAGCCTGCAGTAATTACCAGTTGAGATAAAAGGTTGGAACAGTGAACTACCTGTCAGGAGGAAGAGAAACTGGAAGAAAGAATTCAGGACTGAAGTGTTACCTGAAATGTCAAACACGTGCTGAGGATACTGTACCTTGGGGTCATTCGTGTGTGTGCAAATGAAAGGCTTCAGAAATACATGGGGTTTTTTTTGTTTTCTTAATCTCTAAGTGTAAAATATCTGTGAGTGGAGACTTAACGGTTGCTGAGGCTTCTAAGGTTGCTGCGGTTTCTTTCTTTTCAGACAAATTAACCTTTCGGTGATTCGCCAATATGTGGATTATCTGGTAAACCAGCAGAAGGTGAAGAATGTTTTTGGTAAGTGGTTTTGTTTTTTTTTTTACAGAAACTGTGTTACACCTCTTTTGCCTGACAACCCTACGATATATCTTGCCTGATGAGAGCGGTAGTGGGAGGGACTGTGGATGTGGGATCATCCTAAACATTTATATTCACCAGTGGAGACAGTGTAAGTGATACTTAGGTCATCTGCTTTTGCCTACACCCCGTTTCCGTGCTGGACAAAATAAGCATTGCCTTCATACAGTGACATTTCCAGAGATGAATGGATAATGCTCTTGGCAGAGAAGATTCAGCTGAATGATTCTGCCCTTTGCCTGGGCAAGATACAGTCATCTGACTCAGGAGTCCACGGAATTCAATGAGCTCATCAAAGCCAAATGGGTTTCTTTAGGAGACCTGTGGTGCACTGGGTGATACCGAGGTGGTCACTGCTCCCTTCTTTCTCTGTTCTGCCTCCGTCTCGGGGGCCGCTGCAGGGAAACAGGGATGGCTGGATAAAGAATACAGCATCCACAAAACTGCTTTCGTTCGCAGCCTGGCATAGTTAAGTAAGCTGAAGTCGGTGATGAGATTTTGGTGCAAAACTTATGTGGAAGGAGTGCCAAGATGAAAAGTGGGGCATGGCAGTGACTTAGCTATCCCAGTTCAACCTGTTGTTTGGGACTGAACGTACTGACATCTCATTGTTTCCCAGGGGTGTTTTAGATTAGGTAGGGCATGCGGTTCCACTCATGACAGAGACACCAAATTTCAGGTCAGGCTGTTTTTTTGGGGTGGAGGACAGGCAATCACCCTGCCTGGCTAGCTGGGCGTCCCTTTGTGCGCTTGTCGTAGCCTGACTCGCTGCTGGGAGAAAGAAGTAGTGTCTGCTGGGGAGGGGGTGCTGGGAAGGGCAGTTTCCCAGTTTCAGCAGCTGATTCTGTCTCCTTCCTGCCACTGCTGCTGATCCTGAAACACCCAGATTTCCGACACAAGCATTTGGTGACGGTAACGCTGCAATCCCTGTGCAGATGCTGGTGCGGACCATTGCTATCTTGAAATGGGTTGGGGAAAAAATATTTCTGTTTAATATCATCAAAAGTGTCAGTTCTTGCCTTCAGTAAAATCAATGCATGTAGGCCAGGCCTCAGGAAATGTTTTGTGTTGTGTTGAAACAGTGAATGGCACAACAGGAGAAGGACTGTCCCTTAGCATCCAGGAGAGGAAGCAGTTGGCAGAAGAATGGATGTGCCAAGGAAAAGACAAGTGAGTAGCCAGGAGGGAACAAGGGATTCTGGATCTCATGTTATGATATAAGCATGCCTGATTGCAAAGCCACGTCTGCTGATGGGTGTTTTTTTTAGTATGTTGTTGTTGGTTTTGTTCCCCAGTTCCTTTATCTTAAGTCTGCATTTTTGTCACTGCCAGTTAGCTGGTGTCCCTTCCCACTGCTTAGAGAGCTTGTAAGAGTCCTTACAGTGTATCAAAATACACTGAGGGCAGGGGGACAAAAAGGGCTCGGGGGGGAAAAAAAGGACTGTCTTCTTTGCTTATTCCTGAGAAGAAATAAAAGTAAAGAGCTGTGTGCCTATTTATGCCCTGTGAGCATTTCTGAGCCTTTTAATATATCAGTTAAATTATTTGTTGTGAGGGACGATGCGGTGTAACAAGCTCAAGTGCTTCCCTAAAGGTGCAAAGTTGGTGGCAGAAGAAGGAATTCAAGGCAGATCTCCAGCTGTGTATGGAATTGCAGGTCCACACTCTCTCTCTCGTACTTGTTATAGTCTTGTGTCGCTGCTGCCTTCTCCTTAGTTGCTGTGTCAGAGGATGTGGAGAGGAGGAGGTGTTTCTTGGGGAGAAGGATAGTGAGCAGAAATAAACTGGTGTGAAGGCTCACAGTCTGTATGGATATAAAGGAGGAACACAAGAAAAGGGACTGACGGACAGGAACCTGGGAGATTCCCATGGCAGGAGCAGAGAAGCAGTCAAAGGTGCTGCTGTGAGGCCAAACTCTTCTGGTAGCTCTGCAGAGCAATAGGTTTAGAAAACAAAGAGATGCTTTGATACCCTTTCCTTTTCCCAGCTTCGCCTTAAATCCTTAATGTCTTCATTTTAACTTCCTAATGATATGCTGAAGTTTGTCCCTCCTAACAGCCTAGCAAATACGACAGCAACGAGCCACACATAATTCGTCTTTGCAAACGTGTTTTCTCTTTCTCACCACCAGCTGCTTGCCGCTGTCGGCGTTTTCCCCGTGTGTCTGCTCCTCAGGTCAGCACAGGTTCACATCTCTTCTAGGTCTAATCCAGCCCAGTGAAGGTCTTGGGCTGTGGCTCCCTGGTCTGAAGCGATTCATTTTGGCAGACTGATGTTTTTCAGCAGCACTGAAACCTCCCCAAACCTTCTGAATTTGTTCTTGTGCAGATTGGATCATGTGATCATTCATGTGGGAGCACTAAGTCTGCCAGAGTCCCAAGAGCTGGTGTGTATATATGTTTCCTTCTCACTATGTGTGTAGTAGCTACAAAGCAGAGGTACCTTCAGGTACTTTCCATTCTCTCGTTTGTAGGCAAGACACGCAGCAGCCATAGGTGCTAGTGGTATTGCTGTAATAGCCCCCTGCTTCTTCAAACCCACTAACAAAGGTGAGTAGATGTGATTGCCAGACCCGCTGAGGCCTTTTATGTTGCCCTCCAAACCTTTATCGTAGATAAAAGTAATGCCATCTTCTTTCTTTGGAAAATACTCCGGTGGTAACATTTGCACACCTGTCATGTCTGGTGCTATGCAAAAGGAAAACCTAGAAGGAGCGTTTTGTAAAGATGGGAAATACCAGAATTCTCCCAGTAGGAAGCGGGAAGGATGTCTTCTGGAATGTATTTTGTTAGCCTCTTGTGAAAAGAAGAGTTGTTCATGGGAAGAGTAGTTAACTAGTCTGTCTTCTGAATAGACAGTGTGGAGTTCACGCTTGATCTGGGCCACGCTAGGAAGTGGTTGGTTTCCTGTTGACCCTTGCTGGACACTGACCAAGCTGGTGAACTGCTGATACACAGACATGCCCTCTTGTTACTGGGGTGATCAGGTTTGGTTCTGTGCATCTAAGGCTACCTCAGAACTTATAAATTGAGTGTTTTGCTTTTAATATGATGAACGTAACATAAAAGAACCACAACGAAGTGGAGGTTTCGTAACAGAAATGCTAAAATTTGACTCCGTGAATTACGAATGGAAATGTTCATATGAAAGCACCAGAAGAAACCAGAGTGGGTTGCCAGAATGGCTGGTTTTGACAGCCAAGGACACAATCAGTGGCAATCAAACTGGTAAGCACACAAAGATCAGTAGAAGACCTTTGCTGATAGTAGCAGAATGGCACTGAGGTTTCAGCCCACTGCCCTTCCTGCTATACCAATGGGAACATTGCCTAAGATTTAGGAAGATGCAGTGAACAAGATTCTCAGGAAGTATGTCAACCATAATAGCTCTTCGATTCCTAAAACAGTACAAAAAGGTTGTCTGAAAACCTGTCCATCATCACCATCAAGCATTACCCAAGGGAGGTGAATGTGAACTTGATCCCTCGTCCTCTGCGTTGTACACAAGGGATCCTGGCGAGACCACTTTGGCACGCAGGTCTCGCAGTTTGCATGTGAGAGCATACGTGAATTTCATCTGTAAGAGGATGAGTGTGAGTTACTTAGATCGGTTTGGTTTAAAATAAACAGCATCTTTGCCTTCCCTAAGGTCTTCCACCAAGTTTTGCTACGTTTAAGGTTTTTATATGACTCGCTGTGTGTGGCACACAAGCTGTAGATGGCCTCTTCACATGCCCTGGATGCTGTGAACCTGAACTGTCTTTCACTACAGATAGTTTCTTTCTCTTATGGAGGTACCTGCTTGTTTTCTTCCAGATGAGCTGATTCCTTTCTTACAGAAGGTCGCATCTGAAGCCCCTGCAGTTCCATTTTATTACTATCACATTCCTCCTCTGACGGGCGTGAAGAGTAAGTACTGTGTCGTCAGCCCTTCTGCAGCCCGTAGGCTCATAGCAACCCCAGTAATCCCAGTGGCTGATGCGATTAGTCTGCCAGCCTGAACCAGGTATGTGGCCTCTGCTCCCCATCACATGCAAGCTGCAGTGGAGAGGATCCTTTCTGAGAATGGGAGGTGAATCCAAGACTGGAAAATAAATTGAATTCCTCTTCATTGGAAAAAAGTCGTGGCTTATGAGTACTGAACAGCTGGGATGGAGGAGATGATGCTGACGGTGGCTTTGCAATTAGTGCGGGCCAGGATAGGTAATTGACTTGGATAACCATAGTTGAATCCCAGTTTTTTGTGAGATAGTTACCATCATCTCTCTTGGTGTACACCAACTGCATAGTCGTGTTTGCTAGTAAGTTACGTGTGCAACCACTGTGCTTCTCAAGTCTTACTATTTAGCAGAGGAATAGAGTACGGATCTCTGGTTACTTGCTCCAGACAGCTGGTTATGTGGTGTTTCTGGATGCACACATTTATATTTATTCTTAAATACGTTGTTGCCTGTTTGTTCCTAAGCGTTCACTTATCCAGAGTTTTGATCTGAGATCTGGTAAAAGGAATGCTTTTGATCTGGTGAAAGGAATGCTTCAGAGAGGGTAGAAAGACATCTTTTGCGTAACTCTGGGAAATAATCATACTGAAGTTGTCTTAACTGGTTGTTCTAGAGCTGTGTACTTTACTAGGCTTCGGCCAAAACAGAAAACTTGTAAAATAGTAAGTCTCCCTCTTGGGGAGGAAACGGGGAAATCTCCCAGAACAGGGGTGTGTTTCTTGATATGAGATTGCTGTTCTGCACAGTTCGTGTTGAAGAGTTGCTGGATGGAATAAAAGAGCGGATCCCCACCTTCCAGGGCGTGAAGTTCAGCGACACGGACCTCTTGGACCTTGCACAGTGTATAAACAAGAATGAGAGAGAACAGTTTGAATTTCTTTATGGGGTGGACGAGGTAAGAGGCTTCTCTTAAAAATTATTTCTTCTATGGCTTTCTCTTTCTTCAGCCTTGGGGGAAAAAAGTAACCCTGGACTTTCAGTGCCAGGTAGTTTTGCTCACTCCCACCCACCACCCCTTTTTTTTTCTTTATTTTGTTACATGAAGTAAAAATTGTTTTTTTTATCTCCCCCCAACCCCAAACTAGCAACTGTTGAGTGCACTGGCGATAGGGGCAGATGGAGCAGTTGGAAGGTCAGTATGACTTGGACTTCTTCCCCTCGCCACACACACCTTACTGTTGTGTCTTCCACTATCTCCACAGTATTTCGCTGTCTTCTGTCACAGCAGTGGAGGATTTTGCAGGGTAAGGCTGTACAGCAGCAAGCAGACAGACAAGGTGGAGCCCCAGTGCTAGGGATGGGACAGTCGGATAACTGCGGATTTTGGAGTGTGTTCATTTGGGTGATTATTGCTGCAGTCTCTAAGCCAACCCAAAGGTTTCAACGTATTTCTTTATCCTTCTGGCAGCATTTTGAAGTAGGGAATCCCTTTTATCTTCATTATATGGGTAAGGAACCAAAACCCAAATTGATTAAAATCGTTTACCTTAGTTCACATGAGAGATCTGTGAGGAAATGGTCCCTGCTGAGTTTTATTTCTCATTTGTCTTCTGCTGCTCATACCAGGCTGCTTAGATGAATGGCTGTGTGATATCTCTGTTATTCAGTAGATGATCCGTTAAATGAACAAGCAAGTGGAAAATTAAGTGATTGACTTTATGTATTGTCTAATTGTTTATTTTTAATATCGAAAAGCAGTTCCATTTGGAAGGAACTGGGAAGAGAGATCTGCTCTCTAAACTCCTCTGTAGGGCTTGGCATACTTCAGATGCTTGACACGACAAACCGCGCATAGATTGCATGAATCTCTCATAATAATGGCATTCTTACAATGTCAACAGAGAAAGCCTCTGGCCACGTCTTTTGTTTCAGTGGTTCTAAGCTCCCCCTTTGCATTTACTGATTCTATTTTTGGTTTGACTTTTTTTGGCAGTACATACAACTATTTGGGCCAAAAAACCAACCTGATGTTGCAAGCCTTTGCAAAGCCAGACCTTGCGTTAGCACGGAAGTATCAGGTATAGTATTGTTACTGTCCCCACTAGGAGCAGCCTACTTTCTCCTCTAGCTTTACTGGGGCTGTTTTCCATGTGGTTTTGTCATCCATACCCTGAGGCAGCTTTATTAAACAAACTTCTTTCACCTCCAACCCCCCTCCTTGTTATTCATCTCTCCTCACCTTTTTGACCAGTCCTTACTAACTTTTAACCGAGATCTGCCTTACTTACCCTTCAACTCTCTAATCTCATCTATGCCAAGTGAGCAACGGCCTCACCTTTTCCCTTGAACAAGCCCCTTGGCTGGGAATATTCTGGTGCTACCTTACATGATGTAGGACAGAAAGCCATCCCAAAGCAGCTCTGCCTTAACTCCTCTTGGTCTTGGTGAGCTTGAAGATTTTGGAGGAGTTCAGAGCAATCAGTATACAATCTATACCCAATGTTTTTATGGGACGTTTGAGGCATCCTTTTGCCTTAAAATAGAGGAGACTGCAGGATGGAAGTCTAGATGACGTCTGAAAGATGATCTGCTGTAGGAAATCTCTTCACTAGGCAGTGGATATTCAGATTTGTAAACCTTTAGAGCCAATATGAGACTTACCAGTGTTCTCAGACTGCTTGCAGTGAGGGACAGCTTGAACATGAGTGATAGACTGAGAGGGAGTGATGGTTTTCTTAAATCCCTCCCTTCCTTCCTCCCTCCCTTCCTTCCTCTCTCCCTCTCCTACTCCAGTGGAATTCAATTAGTATTTCCCATAGATTGGCCAGGTAGCCAAGGGCTTTTCTCAAAGTCGTGCAAAAATTGTGTAAGATGTAAATATCACAGTAGCACTAGATGCTTTTACATCTTAAAATTTGAAACTACTGTCTGTCTCTTCTAGTTTCTCACTGGGGAATTTCTCAGCTTTGTTACCAAACTAGGTAAGTCCTACACTGCCCGTTTCCCTCGTTATATCTAAAAATGCAGACTTGGTGCTCCAGAAACTCTCGTGTTTCTGTACCCTCCGAACTTCCTTCCTGAAAGATTTTGCAGTGAGAAAATGTTGCGTGTGCTGTTTCCAGAGTTGTTAGCAGCTGGGAGCTCAACAAAGGGAGCTGACCAAGCATCCCTGACGGATTCCACTCTCACTTCCTTCCTTCTCCTGTGAAATCTCACAGCTTTAAAGCTGTGACTTCACTCTCACTTCCTTCCTTCTGTGAAATCTCACAGCTTTAAAGCTGTGACTCTGTGATTTACCCTTTTTCTTATCCTGGCTCTTTCTGTGGGTTGTTTTTTTTTTTTAGTTCTATCTCCAAATGCTCATTTTTAGCTTTGCTTCTAGAGAGTAATTTTTCTGAAATAGTGATGTTCCAGTAGGAAAACAGCTCCGATGCTTGGTCTCTCCTGCATTGTTGTAATTTAAGAGTCACTGTTCAAGGCTGTACAAGTGCAAAGCATTTTAAAATGGAATGATTTTTTAGAAACAAACCCGAGTTTCAATATAAAAAGCAATTAAAACCAAGTCAGAGTAGAGTAGGGACACTGGATCGGACATTTCCTGGTTTTCACTTAACGCAGAGAACTGTTGGCTGTGGTTTTGCTACGTGTATACCAGCCCCAGTGAATCTAGCTGAGCTTTAGTGCTTGGCTGTATTTCTTGGGTTAAAAGTCAGAGGAAATGCATCATTATTTAGTGTTACAGATAAAGAGGCAAACACTGAATCTCCAGAGGTACTTAAGGAGATGTGAGCTGTGGACAGAGAGGCCTCCTGAAGTTCCTGTGGTGGTTCAAGCTGGTCACATGTCAGCAGGATGTTACTACTCCCAGAGCTTTGCTTTATGTATGGAGTCTGCACTGGGGGATAGCTACGAGGCTGCAAAGATCCTGTTGCTGGGGTGATGAATTGGCTGGGATAGCCCAGCCTACCAGTGAAGGTAAGTTTGGAGAAGCCCTGGTTTTGCTTGGTTTACCTATAGAGGGCTCACAACATCTTCTCTGTTGTCAGAGCTGCTTGACAGTGCATTTTTGGCAAGGAGAAAGGAACACGCACACAGCCCTGGTTATCAGTAAAACTGACTCAGTAGTTTCTAAAGTGCATGGCTAAGAAAATACTCTGCTTGGTGTCTTTAGGAAGGAAATAATAATGGTATAACACATAAATAAATGTAATAAATAGGTGTAATTTTTACTGTAATGTCTTTCCTTACTGCAAGCACGATCGTGTCTTCTTAGTTACCCTGTTCTCACTTCCGAGAAGTGTTTAAAGCCATATAGTGTTTAAAGGATTATAGAGCAACTCGATGCTGCTGCTTTTAGGGACACCCGGTTAGAGACCACTTTAAGCAAAATGATCTGGAAACGACCCGATTTTGCTTTTGTCCACCCAGGTTTTGGTGTCGCGCAGACTAAAGCCGTAATGACTTTTGTTTCTGGCATTCCCATGGGACCTCCACGGCTTCCGCTTGTTAACGCCTCCGAGGAGTTCATCGCCAAGGCCAAAACCAAGCTGAACAGCATTGTGTGGCCTGATGGCAACTGACGTCCGCTTCCATGTTGACCTGGAAGTGGAGGCTCCTTTTCTGGGACTCGCTGTCACGTGGCACATTCCTCACGTGATTTCTTCCAGGGAATTGGCAATGTACCCGAGCCGGTTCCAGTTAGGGCTGGCCTTGTTGGCACGTGTGTAGTAACTTTACTCTGCTCCACTGGAGCGCTGCACATCCCAGGACTAGCTGGTATCTTTTAATAAAAAAAAAAAAAAAATTTTCCTTAGTTGAGGGAACCTGACTCCTTTTGTCTAGAAAGGAGGAAGATCTGTCTCTACCCTCCCTCCAGCTAGGTCATGTTTTGTGCTCTCCCTTTGTATCTCCAGCACTACAGTGTGTTTTTAAACATTGCTATGGCACCGTCTGGTTGCTCAGATGGATATTTTACTGTTTGTCACAAACTCACTGGGACGCTGACCGTGTATAAAATCCGGTTTCTGTCTGATCTCATTGCCTTTGTACTCCTTCGCTTCATGCAAAATATAAAAAACTTTTGCAACAGGAAGCCTTTGGCTGTCTAGTGAGCAGATATTGCTCTATCTTTTTTCTCGGGACAAAAATGAAGGCAGGATTGAGCCGTGTGTCTCCCTTTTGCGATGCAGAACGCTGTTTCACCTGTTAGAAAAGTCACTTACCGTCGGATTAAAAGGTGCAACTTCTGCACCCTGGGCTTGGCCTGCCCGCCGGCCTGAGCTCCGACTGCCTGATGGTTCATGTCTGGTAAATGCGAGCTCCCATGCTCGACCAGTACCTCCTGGCAGTGCTCCTGCCTGCGAAATGACGGGAATGTCTGGAAGGAGGGAAAAGAGAGGGGGGAAACGTGGAGAGGCGCTTTGCTCACGCTGTAACACGAGCGTGGAAAATTCTGCTAACTTCCTTTCGCCGCGTAACCACTGAACAAAAGAAATACACCATAATAAAGGCTTATTTTTCCCCCTTTTGAATCCGTAAGGAATTTAGGAGAGCTTTTTTTTTTTT